TGTTCAATACTTATTTTACCTGCTGTACATAATAAATTATTACTCAATCAGGGTTAGGCCCACAGGTTAGCAGGTTATTATTAGCTTGCTTTCCATGGCTGTATAACCTTGTGTTGTTATTGTAAATGTTAAGCAAACACAATGCAACAAAACTGAACCAAAACATATTAGCTTGTAAACTAGGTAGAGATTTTAGCAGTGGTGAGCAGCGCTAATTCAAAAGTTAGTTCCGCAAATTCTAAAGCGCTAGTTAAATTATTTAGTTCCACAAGTTTTAAAGCCCACATGTCAAACATTTTAACAGAAGCTACATAGATCCACAAAATTGGCTCAGTTCACCAGAATATATTTTTCCAGTAATAATAACATGAACCATTCTTGCACAATACTGCCATCTAGTGGCAGATCAAATAGCTTTCGACCCATCACATTRCGTCGCGGTTTGAGGAAGTGATTTATAGAAAGAGACGTTTTGACTCATGGTGTTAAAATAAAAAGTTGCTGTGGACATGTTTTTTTTAATCAAAGTGTTTTACAGAGTATAAGCTCAGTGACTCAACAAAAATTAAAACATAAACACGTACAAACGGACTCAGCTGAAAGTGAGTTGTTAAAGCCGAAAGAAGCAAAACACTAGCTAAAAACTAAAGGCAGTAAAATAATAATTCAGGTACTGCTGCTACCAATTTTCAGTGTATTTACACAGATAATGGTTTTCTCCTGGTATTAATCGTTTCTAATAAGGTTATAGAGCAGAGCACATTCCTGGGATGTTTTTATTTACGCCCAACATGCTCACTGAGGCATTTCACTTCAAACTAATATGACAACCTGAGAGCAGTTAACCTGTCTGCCTCACACTTGAGCATGTTSTTTTTATTACGCAGTGTGAGTGTGCTTGTCCTTTTTCATAATGGAAAACTAAATTAAGACACTTTGGCTGTTCTCACCATTTTATCCCCGGAGGCTCACAGACAGCCATCTGAGTTTAAAAACTTGATGAAGTCACAAACAAAGGAGCACTTATCTTTCTCTTCCATGGTTCTCCATCTAA